AATGCCATTAATTTTAGACGAACTGCTCCAAGCCAAAGAACAATAGTTTTGGCTGCCAAAGTACACAATAATAAACTGCGCTATAGACTATTACCAGATTCCTCTACTAAATTAAAATTCAAATAAAATAATTAAAAATTGTTATTATTATTAGCGAAAAAAAATACTAATCAATCAAAACTAATAGCTGGTAGACCCCAATCCTCCAATCGAATGGACGTCAGTGACTCTAAAACAACGTCAGCTTCTTTTGTGAGTTCAGGATCAATCATTTTATCTGGGACCATGACGACATTCATTCCTGCTGCCTTTGCACCGACCACACCATTAGGAGCATCTTCAAAAACTAGTACCTTGTGAGATAACACAACAACACTTAATCATTGGCTGGCGAAAAAGTTCAGGAGATGCATATATAGTAGACATAATGAAGTGGCAAAATGTACCCTTGACTATACTCAAATACTGTATAGCAGAAAAATTTGGAGAGTTAAATTTGGTGAATTGCTAAATTTTGGTGATCGGTGAATTTTAATTTGGTGAATTTGTGGCCATGTGCCATTGAGCATGCACATTCTGGCTCAAAATGGTGGATTTTTATTTTGGTGGATAGCTATGAAAATGTCAAATTTGCCAAATTTAACTACCACAGAAATTTCCTTCTATATGGTAGCTCGATCAATTCTAATAACAAATCTTATTACTGCCTTTGTTTTATGCAAAAGTATACTAATAGCCACATACAAATGTACAATACTTGTGAATTAAATATACAGTACATACATGAAATGGTAAACTTTCTGAAGCTAAAAAGATAAAGCTATCAGCTTAAAATTCAAAACAGTTAAGTATAAAAAATTTTCACAGAGTTTCATCATTTAGTATCGCAATGCTTTTAACGGTGAAATTGGAGGGTGAGAGGTTTAAAGAAGAATATGTGTATGTGATTCAAAAAAATATAAGTGTTTGACCAACTGTGAATTTTTAGATTTTTGAGCACATTTCATGTACATAATTATGGTATGGTGACCAAAGAATAGCAAATGCTTTTCGCCAATCATCACAATCACAGTTAATTAATAAAACCGACCAGCAGTTGCAGTTTATTTTATAGCACACCAGAAAAGAATTTCAATCATTAAACAGACCAGAATAAATAAATTATTGGCAGAGTGTTGCAACAGGGTTTTCTTTCGATACAATCATTATAATATTATTCCATGTTTATTAGGCAAACTACTACAACAATCACAGCACACTTTATCAAAATACCGTAGTTTGCCTTTTTTCGTACAAGAATTTTTCGTTTCAGAAAAATTCAAGTGGAAATATTTTCGTCTTCTCATAGTGTACGAAAATTTTTACAGTCTGAAAATTTAGCTTCTCTTGCATATACCTTGTCCTTTACCTACTGGTAACAAGGCCACTATAGTAGTGTTTACAATTCTTGAGATATGAGCTTCTAGTTGACCTGGCTGTTCCCCGGCATTACTAGTATACTGATAGTACTGGAGATGCAGCAATGGCCAATTTACGGATAATAAACAGAAACATTAAACGGCTACTTTTGTCACATGGTGGACCGTTTTATTTTATAACTCAGTAGTGAAGCAACTGATTGAAGTACAGCAAGCACCAGTGGATAGAGCAAGGTTAGAGCTGCAAGAAGATACCTACTTATCAGGCCGTACCTTAGTCTTTCATTGATTAATTAGGTCAAAAATTTTAGTTGCTCAAAAATTTTCGATTGAAATATTTTCGTCATTTCAGGACAATACGAAAATATTTCCACAACGAAAAAAAGGCAAATTACGGTAACATTTTATTTCAGAGATATACTGTATAGTGGGAATTTTTGGAGGGAATTAAATTTGGCGAGTTTGGTGTTTTGATAGCCATTCGCTAAAATAAAATCCACCATTTTGAGCCATTATACACATGCTCAATGGCAAGTGGCCACTAATTCGTGAGATTAAAATCAGCCAATCACCAAATTTTAGCAATTAGCCAAATTTAACTCCCTCCAAAATTTCCTGATCCATGATATTCATCTCAAATTACCACTTCCTAATAATTATCGCAATAATAATATGAGTAGTATCATGAACATCAAATTAAAAGCTCTTACTTTGTCCATTGAAAGAGGAGGAGGATCAAATTTACTGGCAGCAACAAGGAAAATATCAGGAGAGGGTTTACCATTTTTAACCTCAGGATTGTCGCCACAGACAGTGTGAGAGAAACAGGAGAGGAGTTCTGGTTTTTGGCTCATTTTGCTCTCAAAAGCAGCTGTGTGTGAACTGGTGGCTAGAGCCAGTGGGACTTTTTGAGTAGAGAGGTGTTGCAGGATTTGGAAAGCACCTTTAAAATGATAATTATTTTGATATACTGCATAAAAGGTAAAAATATATTGTTAGAGAATTCAATGAAAATAGCAAAACTTAACTTACAAAGATACATGTACATGTGAAGGTACAGTACATTATTTTGACGGCGCTTTATTTAGGCAATTTTACTGTAAAATTGTAATTGGAAGTTTTTAATTTGGCGATGTTTTATGTACACATGCATTACTGAGCACGAGCATTAATGATTGGCAGTTTTAATATTGAGGGTTCCACTTGCAGACCACCAATCACCAAAATAAAACTCTGCCAAAATAAAGCACAATATGGTAACAGGTACAAAAATTTTTTAAAAGAATTTGTTGAAAATAGCAAAATTTATAAAGGTACAAAAAAGGTATTTAAGGTATTAAAGGTATTTAAGGTATTTTAGGTAAAAAAGGTTATTTGAAGGTAAAGGTACATGTATTTTATTAAGAAATACAAAAACCAGTAATTTGTAAATTTGATACTTTCACTAAGACTACATGTATATAATTATTAGTCAGAATCAGCTGAAACTTTCTAAAGCACATAAGGGCATCAATATGTATCAGAAAATGTAATAAAAATTTGGGGTAATTCCGGAGCCATTTTTTGGAAAAATCCATGGGCTATATAGCCTTGGGTATTTTCCAAAATTTTGGTGTTTTCTTAAAATGGCTGTAATTTGAAAAATTGAAGTCGGAATCAGCTCAAACTTTCTAAAGCGCATAAGGACATCAATATGTATCAGAAAATGTAATAAAAATTGAGGGTGATTTCGGAGCCATTTTTTGGAAAAATCCATGGGCTATAGCCTTGGGTATTTTTCAGAATTTTGGTGTTTTCTTAAAATGGCTGTAATTTAAAAAATTGAAGTCGGAATCAGCTCAAATTTTCTAAAGAGCATAAGGACATCAATCTGTATCAGACAATGTAATAAAAATTTGGAGTAATTTCGGAGCCATTTTTTAGAAAAATCCATGGGATGTAGCCTTGGGTATTTTTCAGAATTTTGATGTTTTCTTAAAATGGCTGTAACTTGAAAAATTGAAGTTGGAATCTGTTCAAACTTTCTACACAGCATAAGGACATCAATACATGTATGTATCAGAAAATGTAATAATAAAATTTGATACAATTTCGGAGCCATTTTTTGGAAAAATCCATGGTCATAGAGTATAGGGTTTTATTTAAAATTTCAGCGTTTTCTTAAAATGGCTGTAACTTCAAAAATTAAGTCTGAATCAACTTAAAAATTTCTACACAGCATAAGTAATAAAGAATTAGATTAATTTCGAAGGAAAAAAACCAAGCCTAAAGCCTTTGGTACTTTTAAGAATTTTCGGCATTTATACATAGAATAAGGACATCAATATGAAATCCTACTTGTCCTAGTTTGCAATACTTCTTTGAAGAAACTTAGCACAAAGTAGATCATATTCAACACACAAATAATTTTCATGGTTTGCAAATTTTGCATTTAAATTAATTATAATAATTGCATTGTAAATATTGGTCCATGACCGATTCATAAAATTTTTATCCCCATACGGCTAGAATATCCCATACATGAAGTCGGAATCAGCTCAAACTTTCTACAGCACATAAGGACATCAATATGTATCAGAAAATGTAATAAAAAGTTGGGATGATTTCGGAGTCTAATTATGATCCATAAGAAATTCTTACCCCACTATGATACCCTATACCATACCTGGCATGTACATGTATCTTGCGGTTGGAAACCTCTCAAACAGTAAACTATACAGCTCCTTGCTGAACTCCTCAGCAGTCAATGGGATTCCAGCATCATCCACTACCACTTGGGCTGCCTCAAGTCTCGGCCTACCCATCGCCTTTATCTTTGATTCTCTTGTATACACCTAAACAATAATAATAATAATAATAATAATAATAATAATAATAATAACTTAATAAGTAATAATAATAGTAATAATAGTACTTAATAATAATAATAAATAATAATAATAATAGTAATAGAGCTCTTGCATGGATGTAATTAACGGAAAGGTGAAGCTACACTGTCCACCATCTTGAGTGGCAAGAATGTACATGCAAATGGAGGAATAAAAACAAGCTAGGATTTTTCACATACATGTACATGTACTTCACTGCAGAATATTATAGAGAGTTCTTCATTCAATGCCTTTATCTCCTACCTTGCATTAGCCTGGAATGTCAACTGCACAATTTATTCAGAGTTTTTTCTCCATTCCCTCCATTCCTCCATGTACATTCTTGCCACCCAACATGGCAGACAATTTAGCTCAAATTTAGCCAGACCCTCCTATTGATTACATCCATGCAAGACCTCTATTAATAATAATAATTGTTCCCCTAGGTTCTCCTCTTCTTAGATTCTCATCGCTGCATTTTGTACATGTAAATATTATAACAATGTAATAAAATTAATTTTATGTATTATTACATGTATATATGTATAGAATATAAAATAATTATATACTCGTACCTTCCCGTATCTGTCCAGTATTGACTGCATGCACTCAGTATATATCGACTCTGTATCTAATACACACAAGGAGAGAGAGTAAAAAAGATCTGCGCAGGCTCACTCACCGAGTAACAGACCATAGATCCAAATCAAAAATGACGTATGATGGGTAGCCATTTTTACTAGCAAACAGGGGCGTGGCATAATAAAATGTCTACCGACTTGGAAGACAGATTCGAGTTCACTCTGGTAGCTCATTATAATCCTCTTCAAGATATAGAGACCAAATCCAGAGAGACAATAGAATTATTTGAGAAATGGTATTTGTGATAATTTTTTATTCTTCATTATCATTGTCATTATAGGGGAATGAGTAGTCGTATGAAAAGTCACACCTTCTTTTTCAACAAGTTTTTTCAACCTTATCAGAGAGAGGCATTTGCAAAAGTTAGCAATGGCAAGGAAAATGTAATAATTGTAAATTAAATTTTTTACAGGATTTTTTTGCAAGCTCTGTAGTAAGCAGCACATTACAAGTACGTTTATATAATTTTATATATTATGTACATGCTATAAATATTGTATTAAATATATATGCATTGCATTAGCATTTGTATATGACCATGTATAAGCATGTATCCACTGTATAGCTCATACTATGCGTATTTTATTTTCTGATTGAGCTATTGGCAATAAGAAATATTTTAAATGAGAAAGTACCACTGAATAGGTGTGTGTGAGTGGATGGGTTTAATTTTTTAAATCAGGAGATATGGGATTTAGCTGTAGTTCCTTTACATACCTATGGACTACTATATACCCATGTATGTACATGTACAATGTACATGTATGTGCTTATGTATGATATGTTGATAATTATTTATGTTGTACTATTTGTATACTTACATGTGTATGGGTATGTACTTACGTTATGTGACGTTAATAGGTATTAACACCATTAGAGCAATGGGTATCACTTAACAGTGAGTCATATTTTAGTCACATGACAATCACATGACCTTATCATACACAGACACATCAGTGGATAAAGTTACTGTTGAACAAGTCAATGCAAGTATAATTAATATGGACTTCTTTGATAGACTATACACGTCAGGTAGGCTTACGTCATAATGATGTCATATTTATTACCATATAAGGTGCTGTGAGAGAGAGCAGTGGTAGCATTGTCAAGTGTTTTGATGAGATGATTGATGAGTTTTTGGTCTCTGATGAACTCAGAAAAGTTAGTAAGTTTAAATTAAGAAACAGTTTCAATTTAGATAATGTTATGTACAGTACATGCATTATGATTTCTTGCGTGTACATTGCAGGTGGTGCTAGGTGATCCAGTGTATGAGTCTTTATATTCAACTGAAGAAAGAAATGAGTTTTTATTTAAAATATTTGCCCACATTGTATTAGGAGGACCAGTCAATCAAGTGAGCATCTTCATTCTGTACTGTTTATTGATATTACTTTTTAATATTGCCATTGTAGTAGAGGATTAGGCCTCTCTTCTAATCACAAATGCATAGGTTGTAGTACGTGTATGTGTAGTCTAAAATTTTTTGGTGCAAATGAAAATCAGCAATTTACACTTGAATCACTGTATTAAACTCCCAAAAATTGTGATTTATCAAAATTAGCAGGAAATTGTGTCATGAAATTAGTATGATTAAAATAATTATCTTCTTGGTTTAATAGTATGAAGATAATGTCAAGCCTTATCTAGACACTGCTAAATTGTTGTACAAGAGTTTAGTGAGGTAAGCTATGTCCATATTCACTGCATACCATATAGCGGAATTTATTGACGAGTAAAACATTTGACAAAAACAGTAAATTTCCCCAGTAGGCAATTTTTAATTTCATGATTAAAAGAAATTTGTGCCTTTGCATACACATGGTATGTCAATTGTTGACGGTTGTAAAATTTGATGTTTTATTTTAAATTGTCAAGTCATCCAAATAAAACCTTCGTCAATAAATCGCACTATATGGTATATAGTTACATGTATGTATCCCATATTGGTTGCCATCATGTAGTGTTGTTAAGGATACAGAAACAAGCTCTTTGAGTATCTCCTCAACTGTTTTAAAAGTTGGAGCAAAAGTGAGTCTATCTTTGTCGAGTTAAAGTATTTTTTATATCTCCTAACTACAGGTGGGTGGTATAAAGATGTTTCCTTCATCACGTGAACATCCTCAATCATTCTGTTACCTTGTGATTGATAATATTAAGAGACATGTGACTGTATGGTATCACATATGGTCATAGACAATTAACATAATGTAATGTACAGTAGCACTTTCAATGTAATGAGTAATGAAGCATGAAATATAGCATGGCATAAAATACGTAACTTTATGTAATTTTATAATAACCTCTTGCGTGCTTGTGCCATATATTAGAGTAGATGAAATCAAACTTTTTGCAATTAAATTTCATTTATGCTTGTGCACCATAGCTACAACAGCACGCCATCATATCATTATTCATTGGCCACCATCATAATCATTATTCATTCCATTACAGTGTATGATAGCTGGTAGTGATGAATCACTAGTAGTGGGCACCAGTGAGCAGGTCATCATGTTGATCAGACAGTGATCTGTGCTTTATTATTATTTGAGTTAGTAGACAGTATCAAAACTGTATCTTCTTGCAGTGTCTGATCAGGACACATTAATGTCTCTAGCTTCCCATCTTTTGCTATGCTAATTGTGTTACTGCTGGATATAGCAGCAATAATCAAAGTAAAAAAAAATTGAAAATCAACAGCTTCAATGTGGTTTATATATGAGACTATTGCTCTTAGAAATACTATATATACTCATAACAAAACCAGAATTGCTGATATTTTTTACCTAATTTGGTAATAGAGTTACACAGGAACAAACATTGCAAGCAAAAGCTAAATTTTGTGCTTGATCAGCATAAAGACTGCAGTATTATTGATTGATGGGATTTCAATAATTATTCTTTAGAAAAAAGTTGCATGAAAAGAGAAGCACCAAAAATAGTCTTAACAAAAATAGTTCTAACAAAAATAGTCTTAATAAAATGTCCTAACAAAAATATTCCTAATAAAAATAGTTTTAACAAAAAGTCCTATATTACTTCTTCATGCATTTAACATAGGCCAGTTCACAAGGCTAGTTGCAATCAAGATCAATGGGGACCATGCCAGCGATATCAATGCACGCACATTCTCCTTGATTATTCACACCAAACCCATTGCATCCCATTCCATTGGTCCAGGGTTTGTAAGGGAGGGTACCAGCACCTCTATCATACCTTGGCTTGTAACAGCTATGTGGTGGCCACCACCTGTAGCAGTATAAGCCCATGTCAGTGTAGTCTGATCCACAGAAATGACTGCAATATCCCCAGCAAACGGTGGCAGCTCCGATGTAGTATTCTTTGCATTTAGGATAGCAAAGACCAGCATCATTTTCTTCATCCTCACTGCATCCATTCTTTGCACATGTGTTTGTTGCTGTGCGCAATGGGAAATCTGGATTAGCAAGAAGTGAACACTTCTTATAGCATAATCCAAGGTAGTTCTCCTCATCATCAGCACAGCCAATAGTTACTGGAGGAAATTTTGTTCCACATGCTTGATGAGCTACAAAAGAAATGAAACAATGATAATTGTAAAAGTCTTACCGTCAACACAGCCAAGCTTGATTCCTGAAAGGAAAACACAAATTTCACTTCCATTAACTTTGACTGTAATATCATCCAAAATACCTTAATTTAAAAATTAAAGATGGATTTTTAATTCAATAGAAACAAGAATACTTTTATCATAGGCAAGTGAATTGACTTGTTGTGGCAAAATTTCGTACTTCTTGTTTGTTTCTTTGTTTCTGTTTCTAAAGTCACACAGATGAGTTGCAATAATAATAGACAATACATTATACCTGTAATGATGACGGTTGTAAGACTTTGTGCCTATTATAAAAATAATATACAATGATATACATTAATGGATACAACTATTGAAATACCTGGCATAGCCAGAGCACAAACACTGAGAGTCATTAAGAAGAGTACAAGAGTCTTCATCACGATTTTCCTTTTGTTGTAACTTGCTCACTGCAGGGAAAAGCACCTCTTTATATAGCCTACTGAACATGAGGCATACATCATCCAGCTCTTGCTACAAGCACGTGTGAAAAACGCCTTGATGTTTGAAATGTGCCTGGTATTATTTACAACTGAGTACACCTAGTAGTATTAAGCTACCCAAAATATTTGTATTAGACATGCATGGTGGCTATCATGCAGGATGAATGTTTGTCCTAGTTGCATACTATTATTTACAACTTCTAGTGCATCACAAGAGACTATTGACCTAACACAATGCCCCCATTGTACTTTTCTTTGTTACAATCGTCCTCATTCCTTTAATCTATCATCAACTTGCAAGGCATAAATCATGTGGCATAATGAGATAGAAATGTGAAGTATAATTCACTCATTAAAGTTTATTATAATGTATATAATTATCACAAAAAGAAGCATCAAGAATATCCTAACAAAAATAATCCAACCAAGAGTCCTATATAGGCCAGATTATTGATTAGATCAATAGGCACTTTACCAGAGATATCAATCTTTGCACATCCTTCTTCATACTAAACCCATTGCATCCCATTCCATTGGTCCAGGGTTTGTAAGGGTATATACCAGCACCTCTGTCATATTTATCTTGGCTTGTAACAGCTTATTGGTGGCCATTACTGGTAGCAGTATAGGCCCATGTCATCATACCCTAATCCACAAAAATAGCTGCAATATCCCCAGCGAACTGTGGCAACTCCCATGTAGTTTTCCTCAAATATAAGATAGCACACACCAGAATCCATTCTTTGCACATGTGGTTGTTGCTGTGTGTAATGAAAAATCTGCATTAAACCTATAGCTAGAAGTGAACATTTCTTATGGCATAATTCAATATAGTTCTCCTCCAGTCTTGTTGCCTAGACCCTGACATGTCTGTTTTGTAATATTTACATATAAGTGCACCTATAGTACATAATAGTAAGCTACCCAAAATATTTGTCAGATATTGTGGCTCTCATGACTCATGTTTGCACTGGTTGCATACTATTATTTACAACTTCTTTTTTCATCACAGTATAGAATGCTAACCTAACAAAATGCCCCATTGTACTTTTCTTTTTTACATTCTTCCTCATTCATTCAATCAATCATCAACTTGTAAGGCATAGCCTATGTGGCATAGACAGAAACGTAATGTATTTTTATTCATTAAAGTTTATTATATATGCATGACAATAAGAAGCATAAAAAATATCTATAAAAATAGTCCTAACAAACATTCCTATATTACTTCTTAATGCGCTGTTATTGTATTAGGCCAGATTATTGCTTGTTGCATCCAAGATCAATGGGCACCAAACCAGAGATATCAATCTTAGCACATCCTCCTTGATTATTCACACCAAACCCATTGCATCCCAATCCATTGGTCCAGAGTTTGTAAGGCAGGATACCAGCACCTCTATCATAACTTGGCTTGGAACAGCTTTTTGGTGGCCACCACTGGTAGCAGTATAGGCCCACATCATCATACTCTGGTCCACAAAAATGGTCGCAATATCCCCAGCAAATTGTGGCAACTCCCACATAGTGTTCTTTGCATTTAGGATAGCACAGGCCAGCATCATTTTCTTCATCTTCATCACATCCATCTTTCGCACATGTGTTTGTTGCTGTGCGTAATGGAAAATCTGCACTAGCAAGAAGTGAACATTTCTTATAGCACAATCCAAGATAGTTTTCCTCATCATCAGCACAACCAATAGTTACTGGACCAATCTTTATTCCACACGCTTGGTGAACTAGAAAAAAATTAATTAACAATAGGGTACACATTCAAGAGTCTTAATTACTATCAGCACAACCAAGCTTGTCCAGTAAGTAGTAAACACAAATTTCAGTTCCATTAACTTTAACTGTAATGTTATCCAGAATACCTTTAAGAAGATGAAAATGTGAGAACTAAGTCTTGCATACTTTTATAATTATCAGAGACAAGTGCCATGCCTTGTGGTGGTGACATTGCTTTGATAGTGTTCATAACTTCATTTCTGTTTAAAAGATGTATCAATAGCTTTTGCCACATGCTTCATTAATAGTCTAATAGTATATACGGTATATTGTATTGTTTACCTGTAATGATCATTGTGGTAAGACTTTGTCTCTAGTATAAAAAAGAAGCAATAATCATAAAGCTATTGACATACCTGCTGGCATAGCCAGAGCACAAACACTGAGAGTCATAACAAAGAACATGAAAGTCTTCATTGTGATTTCCCTTTAGTTTTAACTTGCTCACAGCATCGAAAAGCACCTCCTTTTATAGCCACACACTGAAAGTACTAAAATGAATATTAGGCACTAGCAGCAGCATGGATAAGGAGCATCTTAATGTGTGTACATTAAGATGCTCGTTATCCATGTTTGCATGGTCTGGCTGTCTTAATTATCAGAGCCTAGATAGTACATATGATATAATTGCAATATTATGATAATGATTTTTAGAACTAAAAATTCAGTGAGATCTAATTTTACTACAAAAACAAGTTTGCATATTAAGATGCTTGTTACGCATGTTTACGTTGTCTGGTTGTGTCAGTTATCGTGGTCTAGCACAAATAGATAGTAATATCATAATTGCAATTACGATAATGATTTTAGAGCTAACAATTCAGTGAGATCTACTTTCATTACAAAAACAAGTTTGCATATTTAGATTTTACTTTCACTAATAAATCAAAATAATTTTTTTAGCTAAAGTCTATAATATTAATAAAAATAACAATAATAATAATTCAGCAACTATCGACTCAGCAAAACATAATAATAATAATAATAATAATAATAATAATAATAATAATCCCATCTCTCTCTTTCTTCCATCTTCTGTATTATACATATGTCCTATCTATCCTACTCCTAAGTGTTTCTTTTCTTTTTATAATAATAATAATAATAATAATAATAATAATAATAATTTTTCATCCTGCCCTAACTTTGTCCTAATTCTAACTTTCGTTAATAATAATAATAATAATAATAATAATAACAATAATAATAATAATAATAATAATAACAATAATTAGTCAATAAAGTCCGAACTCTCCTTGCCTAATGATCCCAGAACTGATACCATATTGCTCTTTTGTATAGCGACAGATAGACGTTGCATAAGATAGTTATACGAGTGAGGGTCACCTGAATGTAACAAAATCAAAATAATAACAACTTCCCAGTGACACAAATATGAGGAGGATAATTTAGAGATAGCACTGAGCCCTGGAGGTCTGAGTCAAATATGCCGAAACAGAAATGAACAGACAAATGCAAACAAAATTTAAACTAAATATACTAATTGGGGCAAACTTGACTTGAGTGAGCCCCACTATAGCATAAGTCTACTGTATGCACATGTGTCTCCAGTCACACCCATCTTCTGGTCTTGCCCCATGTGTGCACTACTAATCTACCCTAAAGCCAGAAAGTTTCATGGCAAAAAACTTTCGTGGTTTGGTGGCTCCCAGTCTATTTGTCGTTTTTATTTTTGTGGATCATCAGCGAAGCACCTACGCCTCTCATTAACCTGCAAATATTTTGTGGTTTTTTATTTTGTGGTGTCATTCCAAACCACAAATGTTTTGGGCCACGAAACTTTCCAGCTGTATGGTATTTATCTGTCAATGATCTAATGCGGTAGCATCATTCTAATAAAATATTGCAAAACACGTGTGCATGTATGAACTATGAAGCAAGAAGAAAGCTTGAGCTCAATGTCAATGACTTAACTGCCTGGAATCAAAAGGATGCTATTCTTCATCTTTAGATGGTTATGATGGGCATTCAAGACTCTAGATTCATAGGCGTAGGCAGGGTCGGGCATATAGGGGCAATGCCCGACCAGACTCTGTGAGCTGACCTGTGGGCAAGGGCAGTGAGGGCAGAAGCTTGGGCAAGGTGGTTGGGCAAGACTGAGTGTGCCACTGTATGTGAGACTGTCAGACTATCATTACCACAGGTGTAATTGGACACTGGAACTATACTATCAGTCTGTGACTGTCACTTAGCCTGAGGAGTGAGGAAGAAGCTGAGAGAGCCAGAGCTCTAGCAGCAGCCATTGTATTCAAGTTATGAATTATGATATCAAGTTAATTATTAGTGACGCCCAAGTTAATTATTGAAATGGCGAGCAAACGTCAATCTTCCATGCTGTTTGCACCTATATCTTTTATATATAGGAATAGATTTGTCTTCTAAGCTCTGGGACTCGCCTCATTTTTTGTTAACTGGGTTTTTCAAAGCCACCATATCACGAAAAATTTCTTCTACCTGATTACGATAAAACAATAATAATTGTGTATGCATGCATCTTGATGATAGTGTGAAATCGCCATATTTCGGGCGGCAAAAAGGGGTGTGGCCAAAATTTTGACGCGCTTCGCGCGCCCACCATTTTCTCCTTGCCCGACCTTCTTTCCTAGTCTGCCTACGCCCATGTCTAGATTTAATTATAAAAGCAGCCAAGCTAGCAGCAGAGTCAGTGCATAACCACAACTGACTCAAGCTCGCTCCATTAATGCATTTGATTAGTTATTTGTTAAGAGAAGTTTGGATTTGGAGGATTTATTCATAACATACATAAATTACATCAGTGGCATGCATGGGCATAGTGCATGAAAGGTGCATGCATGATTAGGCTATAATTATTGAACAAGAGTCAGTCAGATCTACTCTATTATAGACTAGATTCATTTTTACATTTACCAAGAGTACATTACCTCCTCTTGATGGTAGTAACGGTCTTCAATCTTCATCAGTCTTCATTCTTTGATTACCATCCATGATCTCTCCAGGGAAAGGGCGGAGCTTGTTATAAATTAGCTCCGCCCTTAACAGAAATGGAGCAAGAACTGGAAAAAGGGAGGGCTAGAGAGAGAACTCTCAATGAAGACCTCGATAAAGACGCTGCAAAGGCAAATGTATCTGAAACAAGGTCTGAAGAAGAAGATGAGCTGCGTAAACCATATTACTTTGGCTGTGGGCCTTGCCATCCCAAATGGATGCAGTACTTGTTCGCTAGGAAGGTTTTCTTTACATTCATCCTCTCAACTTTCTCCTTCCTACAGACTGGACTAGTTTCAGGTAATAAGGAAAGCTTTCATTAGGTTGTAACATAAATGGTTGTAATGGGCTTGTAAATTAGCTTGCACCTTGAGGTGTTAACTTAGGTGTCAACAAAACCCAAGCTTTTAAAAAATAAAGAGCAACACTCCGCTTGCCATATTTTTTAATTTACCATCTAGAGCAGAGATTTCATGATACGGGTGGTATTAATCTATGGTACTGGTAATGTCAATGATATTATTATTTTTGATTTTAAAACAATTAAGTCACTGATAACTAGTATCTCTTTGAATAATGGGATAGCCTCTTGTGGGAGTTTACCTCATGAATTTCTTTATTGATGCCTTAATGAATTAGCAATCAAACTCCTCATTAACCATAATATGTATACACATACATTACATATACTCTTATAAAAAAATGTAGGTCTTCTATCGACAGTCTTATCTACACTTCAAGTCCGATACAGTTTCAGTAGTGTTGCTGCAGGTGCTATATCCCCAGTATATGATGCAACCGTACTCATCGGGGTCATATTCATTACTTACTTTGCTCAAAATGTTCATCGACCTCGCCTCCTAGGATGCTGCTTGTTGCTGGAAGGTTTTGGGGCTCTGCTATTTGCAATGCCACAATTCTTCTTTGGACGGTATGTGAGCCTAATAAAGATTGCACATTACTTTATTTGATTTTAGATATTCTGTTGGCGGAACCGAAGGTATTTTAGAGGAAGAGTGTCTTGATAGTCGATTGAGCAACGAGGATTGCAGTGACGTTAATTCAGGAGCTTATGCTATGTTCCTACTGAGCAGTATTGTGATTGGAATAGCAGCAACTCCAACCTACACGCTGGGAATGGCCTACCTTGACGAGATTGTCCATCCTAAGTACGTAGCCCTTCACATTGGTGTCTTTGCCATGACTTTAGTATGTGGCCCATTGATTGGCTATGGACTGGGCAGTGCCTTCCTTGGTATGTATGTTGATCCATGGGTTGAGACTACACTAACACCTAGTGATCCAGCATGGGTTGGAGCCTGGTGGATACCATATATACTCTTTGCATGCATCATGTGGTGTCTCTCAATACCCTTCTTGATGTTCCCACGCTATTTGCCTGACAGTTACCTTGTGAAGCAGGAGAGGCTAAAGGAGATGGCTAGGTCTTATTCTGACACTAATAAAGATGATAAAGGTCTTAGTAAATCAGTGAAAATGTTTCCCATTCAACTGAAGAGACTTTTATTTAATCCGTCATTTGCTTTTATCACTGTCGGTTTTTCTATTATCTCGCTTTTTCTTCAAGGCGTTATAACATTTGCTCCACAGTTTTATGAGGTTCAGTTCAATCTCACAGCAGCTACAGCAGGGGTCATAGTTGGAGCAATTGCCATACCAGGAGGATGTGAGTTTGCTTGTATTGATAGATATTGATGTACTTATGCTATGTAGAAAGTTTGAATCAATTCTGACTTAAAACTTTTTAAGCTATGGCTGTTTTTTTTAATTTTTCAATTTTTGAAAAACCCTGTTATAGCCATGCTCTTTTCTAAAAAATGGTTCCTAAATGATTTCCAATGTTTATTACTTTTACTGATACACATTAATGTCCTTATGCTATGTAAAAAGTCTGAGCTGATTCCGACTATAATTTTTAAGTTACAGCCAATTTAAGGAATTGGTTCATTTTTACATTTTTCCAAAAAATGGTTCCAAAATTACGCCTAATCTTTATTACATTTTGTGATGTATATTGATGTCCTTATGCTATGAAGAAAGTTCAGGCACAATCCAACTAAAATTTATTGAGTTACCTTAAGCCTACTATTATTTGCGTCTACTAATTTTAGCGAAATCAGCAAAAGTCATGTTTAGCGTTACTAATTTTAGCGTTTTTAACCAAATTAACTATAAATAATAACCATTTTAATGAATAATAATTATTTTGGGGTCTATTTAATTTAGCGGTTTAAAGCTCTCTCACTAATATAGCTAAATTTAGTAGACGCTAAAAATAGTAGGCTTAAGGTATGGCCACCTAAAATTATGGCATCACTTTTGATCTTATTACAATTTTATTGTTTTTATTTTATACAGTTTTTGGTACATTGGCTGGAGCTATATTGGTCTATGGCTGTAAATTGCGTGGCAGAATAAATGCATTCTTAGTAGCAATTATAACGCTAATACTTGTTCCTCTTCTGTTGATTTTCCTCCTCCATTGCCCACAAGTGAATGTAGTTGGCATTAATGAAGCTTATCCTGATGGGTAAATTTTTCATGATTATTATTATTTCACTTAGTTAATGGACAATGATAGGTCTCAGACTCTCAACGTTGATCCCAAAAGTTGTGCCGGACTATGCAACTGCACTTTGGCTGTTTTTGATCCTGTTTGTGGCTCTGATGACCTCAGTTACTTCTCCCCGTGTCTTGCTGGCTGTAGCAAGGAAACTTTAGGAGATGGAGTAAGCCCTTTTGTCACTGTGTACAACATTATGCTTCTTGTTTTTTAATGCAGACACTCTTTTTTACCAATTGCACTTGCATTGCTGAATCCCTCTATGGCAATGCAACGTTTTTCTCCAACGCAACAGCTTCAGATGGTTACTGCTCTGATCAGTGTCTTAGCATAATCCTAACAGCACTCCTTGGTCTCATAGTCATTACTTTCCTTGCTCTAAGTGTCCAACTACCATTCATCCACTTCATGCTAAGGTATAACAAAACACTAATTTGTCAATTATATTCAGTGTTGATTTGCAGGTGTGTTGCTGATGATCAAAGAGCACTTGCATTAGGTGTGCAGTCTGCTATGTTCAGAGTTTTTGGCTCAATCCCTGGCCCCATTATATTTGGTGCTCTATTTGATGCTGCCTGCATATCATGGCAGTATGAGTGTGGTAGACGTGGTAGCTGTTGGATTCACGATAAAGACCAGCTGAGCTACAGTGCGATTGGTTTGGGGATACCCATTAATTTTATTGCCATAACTTGTTATGTCATTGCTGCTTTGACTTATCCAAAGAAGAAAGACCAAGTGAAGGAGGGAGAGGACAAGACAAATGTTGAGCTATCTTAGTGTTGTTCTACGAGACTGCATTTTATTAGTTTAGTTCAGTATAACAGTGTTACGTTAATAATATTTAATTAATTAATTTTTTTATCTTTTTAAATGTGGACTGCTAAGGGTCACATTAGGCATTATTTGCTTTTTATTCTATTTTAAGTATTTATTAATTTTTTGTGATCTTAATTGTGTTAGACCACGTGAGCTCACGTGGTTAAGATATCCTAAGTAGGCGTGTCTCAAACTAGCACCAATGGCAGTAAGGTGAACTTCACTCCATTTGTTTTTCTTTGATTTTATTATTTGATTCAACTGCAGGGACACTCCATGGTCTTCATTAAAAATGGCACCTATTGATGTGACATTTGGTCTTTCTGAAGCTTGCAAGAAAGACTCCAGATCCCCAAAAGTCAACCTAGCTATTGGCGTATACAGCAATGACGATGGCAGCTCATTTGTCTTTCCCGTTGTCCATGAAGTAACAATTTTTTTATGATTATTATTTTTGATTATTGTTGCCGTAAAGGTTGAGAAGTATATTGCTGGAAAAGGGTTGGACAAAGAGTACGCAGGGATACTGGGACTGGAGAGTTTTAGAAGAGCCTCTCTTGAGTTTGCACTTGGAAGTGAGAGCAAAGCAGTGATTGGAGGTCTAGTAAGAGAGAGAGGGAAGGGGCTCTGCATCTAATAATAATGTGTTTTTTTTTAATTTCACTTCAGTGTGCAACAGCTCAGACAGTAGCTGGTACAAGTGCCCTCAGAGTCATTGCTACCTTCCTGGTCAGTATAGTATTATATTAGTAGTGTTTGTTTACAAATGGCATGTGCGTGTAGGCTAAACACTATCCATATGAGAAGACTCTTTATATTTCTGAATACACTTGGCCTAACCATGCACCTATTTTCAAGTAAATGAGAAAATTATTTGCTAGTTGCTACGGTATATATTTACAATTATTTATGCCTAGGGAAGCTGGGTTTAGTGTGAAATCCTTTCGATACTATAACTGGAAGACTGGCGGGTTAGATTCAGAAGGACTTTACCAAGATCTAAAGGTATACCTCCACTCAAGGCTCTAAAAACTTTGTCAGATTATTATTATTATTATTATTATTATTATTATTTTGTAGTCAATTCCCAAGCATTCTGTTGTTCTGTTTCAAGCTTGTGGACACAATCCAACTGGAGTAGACCCAGTGGTTAGAACCATCACATGATGCATACTAATGCAATTATATGATTAATTTATTTTGTATCAATTAACTTTCTTAGGTTGAAGAGTGGAACGAAATATCAAAGATATGCAAGGTTTGTATTGCTTGATACATACAGAGATCTTGTTCATCATAATTGAATAGGATTGTGGCCACTTTGTTGTAATTGATAATGTTTATCAAGGCTTTGCCAGTGGTAGTCATGAGAAAGATGCTACTAGTATAAGAAGATTGGTAGATGATGGAAACAATGTAGCCATTTGTCAGACTTTCTCCAAAAATTTTGGACTGTATGGTAAGCAATGCTAATAATAAATTCTTAAAGTTTTTCAAAGTTCAGCCAAGTCTCTGTACTATTATAGTGGCAAAATTTGGCCCGAGACCATGTACTGTAATACATAGTCTCGGGCCAAATTTTGCCAAAATTGAAAAAGAGAGAATCCTCAATTTTTATTTTAAAATACATTTACATGCTTCTTGTTGTGTAGAAAGTTTGAGCTGATTACGATCACATTTGAATTTTTTAGGAATTTTTAAAGTTGGTAAAATATCGGGCCAAAGTTCCTGTACTGTAGTGCCATGGTCTTGTGCCAAATTTTGTGAAAAGCGAAAAGGAGAGAATTCTGTTTTTATAATTTAAAAATATAAATACCCTACAAGATGATTTATTAGTGGGAGTAATATTTGATGAATTTGCCTGTGGAAAGGAATTGGCAAATTTTATATTGGCGATTTTGTGCCACATGTTGAGCATGCTCAGATTGAAACAAAATGGCGGATTTTATATTGGCGATTTCTTCATAGAACCGCCAATCACCAATATTGATTCCTAGCCAATAAATCATACTGTATGGTACATGCTTTTATGTTGTGTAGGGAAGCTCATTCTGATCAAAATTGAATTTTTTTATGAATTTTCAAAGGTGCTCCATATGCTATAACAGCTCTGCTGTTTAGCTCACTTAACATTATGCTTTGTGGAAACCCAATTTTTTGCTTCCATTGTAGGTGAGAGAGTAGGGACTGCTACTATTGTATGCTCTTCTGTTGATGAGAAAAGGATTGTTGAGTCTCACTTGAAGCTTGTCATACGTCCTATGTATTCCAATCCACCAATCAATGGGGCTAGGATTGCAACGGAGATACTTACTAACCCACAGTACAGAAATCAATGGTGAGTAATTTGTATAAACATTCACTTTTGATACATTTGGTGTTACCAAATTACTGTACATGCCATATATTTTGTGGTGATTAAATTTCACAATTTATACATTTTGTAAAGATTTGCGAAATTAAAGTCCACAAGGCATGCTTAAAGTACATGTAGGTTCTACCTCACAAGACAAGATTTCACTGAGTTTTAATTTCTATATTTCTTCATAAAAATGTGTTGGCCACAAATAAAACAAAAGAAAACATAGCAGCAGACTAGATAGAGACTCACCTACATTTAATTAAATGTCGGTTTTTACTGACCATGCTGATCATTTATTGACCAGTTACTTTGATCTGAATTGTTACTGTAAACATGTGAAATTTTTATTCACAAATTAAAATTTGCAGCCAAATCACAAAACTTTACACATGCAAATTACCGTATAGCTGGAAATATTTGCTGGAATTTAATTTTGCTGTTTGCTGTTCATCATAAAATCGCACAATTTTAATTCCGCAAAGCATTATAATAAGTAATGGGTGTACACGCCTACACCAGCAAAATTAAATTCCACAAACATTAAAATTAGCTATATGGGTACAAAATTGCAAAATATAATTCCCGCAAACTTTTCCAGCTATATGGTATATGGCATATATGTTATTTCTTTCATGTACTCTATAATCCTGTGGTATATACTACGTGAAATGCACTATTATAGGTTAAAGGAGTTTAATGTTGTCTTTGAAGACATACAGTCAAAGAGGGTTGCCTTTCACGATGCATTAGTTAAAACTGGTAATCAGTACATAATGCATGATAGCCTTGTGATGATAATGTGCTTGTATGTATAGGATCTAAGAGAGATTGGTCTCATATTCTAAGACAGAAAGGATGGTTTTGTTTCACTAGCCTCTCTGAAGAACAGGTCACATATCTATAAGTATAATAATCTAGATGTTTAAAAGTATATAATTGTAATATCTACATTTATAATGCTGCATAGCTCCAAATTTTTGTCGATCAAAAATTTTGTCAAAATCTTGATTTTTTGTTAAAAATTAATTTTTGTCAAATTTTTATCATCTTTGTTATTGATCCACAATTTCTGCAGAACAAAAATTTTGTCAATTAAAAATTTTTCAAACAAAAATACATGATGAGTTTGAGGAAAATTTTGACCGAAGAAAATTTGGAGCTATACCATATTATTTTTTTTAATAATTTATAATACTTTATTGCATTGAAAGCATGTCAGTGTTAACTTTATACTCTGTTTAGGTTGCAATGCTAGAAAAAGATTATGCCATCTACATGAGTAAGGCAGGTCGTGTCCCAGTAGTAGCTTTGAGAACTAGTGAAATTGGCTATTTGGCTAATGCAATACATTCAGTTATGAAATAATTATTATTAAAAAAATTTTAAAGTTTGTTTTAGATATAATTATCTTTTCTTATTATTCAATGACCAAGTTTTAAGAGTATTCAAAAATAATTTTATCATTGTCTTCATCAATGACTTAAGGCTTCTATTGACCACTTGAGTTGGCTAAAAGGGGCAAGCTATGATGATGACATTAATGTCCTAGTACACATTCACCTACATTCACCCCAATGACAATAGGCGGGAAGGGTGTGGCTTGCAAGACTGCTTGATCCCCTGTATCAGTGCCAACAAGAAATAACTTAATGTAAAGGAGTCTAATGGTAGAGTAGGGAATGGAGGAAGACTAGGTATCTCTGTATGTTTAATTATTTTTCCCATTGGTTGCCTTTAGGATAGAGTGTGGGCCCGGTGTATGTAAAGGCCCCCATACACTAGGCAACATGTTGCTAGCAACATTTGTGGTTACTTCGATCTTGTAAGCAACATGTTGCCAGAAGTAGAACAGCCTTATTTCTGGCAACATCTTGCTTACAAGATCAAAGTAACCAGTACTAACCACAAAAATGTTGCCTAGTGTAAGATCTAGAATTTAAAATGGCACGTGATCCAAAATGCACATTGAGAGGGCTAGATAGAAGATGGCACTACGGCGACTTCTGGGTGCATTTGTAAGAAGAGATCATGAAAAAGCTGTTCGGTTATTACGTTTACAGGATCCTGAAGTCCTTTACCAGGATGAACCTTACCTGCTTTATCATTCTATAAGGAATGGCTGGTTAGATGTTACAAGAGATCTCGTCACTATTCACCGTTTTGATCCACATGAATACTACTGTGGTGAATCCTGTCTTTAGTATACTGCTGCTAAAGGTAATCACGTTGATATAGTGGAATATCTTATTAAAGAGTGTGGCTGTGATCCAATGATGAAAGCTATAGATACTATATATACTACTAAGTATGACAGTGTCCCTTTTCTTCATTGTGTCGCTAGTGAAGGATGGTTTGACGTCTTGAAGTGTATGGTCATGAACATCAATGGTCATATAATGGATGAACAATATTGTTCTACTATTGGTCAGACTGTTCTTCATCTTGCTGCTGTTAAAGAATACATAAATGTTGTAAAGTACTTCCTTTTTGAGTGTAACTGTGATATAATGACTCCTGATGGGAATGGAAATACTATTCTACATTATGCAGCTATTAAAGGATCACTTGATTTTTTAAAAGCCATCAATACTCATCACTATAATATTATCTGTACTAACAATAACGGTCGGACTGTTCTTCATCTTGCTGTTAAACACATAGGTGTTGTGAAGTACCTAATTAATGAATGTAACTGTGAGATAATGGTCACTGATAAGCATGGACAAACACCTCTTTAAGAAGTTTGGTAACGTTAAAATATCTCACCCAATTGATTCGTATGTTAACATTCTCCTTCTGGGTAATCCTGGAGCTGGTAAAAGTACTCTTGGTCATGTCATCAATGACACAGTTACTGGTTCTATTGCTCTTGGTTCCTTCAGAAATGTTAGAGGGGTAGTGCCCTGTACTGCTGGTATCATTCCCTATAAACTACAACACAGAACACATGGTAACATCATTCTTCATGATTTTGCTGGTCATTCAGAATACTACTCCAGTCATAGTGCTGTCATTGAGAATCTGTTACAAGGTTCTGGTGGTGTGTTCCTGATAGTAGTCAATATATTGGAGAGGGAAGCAGCCAAACAGCTTCATCAGTGGCTAACAGTTGTGAGAAATGAAGCACAGAAAGCTCTTAATGATTGCCATATTATTGTAATAGTCAGTCATGTGGATGAAATAAGTAATCCTGTTGAAAGGAGGAGAAAGGAAGAAATACAGGAGATTATTGTAAGGGAAAGGTATGATAGTGTCTTTCTAGATTGTCGTAAGCTTGGTGGAAGTGGTGTGAATTCCTTCTTTAAAAAGTTGTCTAGTGCCTGTGATTCCATTCGTAGTACAAGTGGAAGGAATTTGAGTCTCTATTGTCACATGATGTATGGTCTACTGGAGGAAAGGAAAGAGAATATACTGACCCTCTCTGATGTAATGTCTGCTGGTAAGGACAATAAGGATTACTTTATACCAGATAAGAGAGAAGACGTCTTGGATGTTCTTCATTTGTTGCACTCAACTGGTTTGATCAGTGTTCTTAAAAGTGAAGACAAAGTATGGGTTGTTGTGAATAAGGGTATACTACTAACTGAGGTGGATGGGATTATCTTTGCTCCAGAAACATTCAAAGAACACGTTGACATTGCTAGCAATACTGGTATTGTCAGTGTGTCTAGTCTGACTAGACTTTTCCTTAAATATGATCCTGACATGTTGATCTGTTTCCTAAAGAATATGGAACTCTGTCAAGAAATGAATCTGTCTTTCCTGAGAATGACAAACCTCCATCAGTTAGCAGTGGAAGAGGAGGAGGGGGGAGGGAGAGAAAGAAGAGGAGAAAGGTTGTTGTTCTTTCCATGTCTTTTATCTACTGATAGACCTGATGAAATGACTAGTCAAGTTTACCAGTTTGGATGGTGTCTACAGTGTACCGGTACTAGTAAACATCATTTCTTTCCTCCTCGATACTTCCACGTCCTCTCATTACATCTTGCTTATAAATTGGCTCTACCTCAAGAAGATGACAAGTTATATCGTTACTGTACATTTTGGAAAAACGGACTTTATTGGTTTAATGGTCATGGTGTAGGATCACTGGTAGAGATTGTGGACGAAAGCCAGTGTGTACTAGTAATGATGTCCTGTGAGAAAGGTTACAGTGACAATATGGTGTCTCTAAGAAGAGATGTGATAGGAGAGGTAATTAGTATTTATAAAGAATCCTGTCCCAGTCTAGAGGTAAAAGAGTTAGTTATTGATCCTAAAGAACTAGCCTATCCTGTGAATACACCAAGAGAAAGGACAGTGCATAGTGTAAAAGCTGTACTCTCAGCAGTAGTTGAACAACGACCATTTCTAGTTACTATTGGTACTAGGCATACAGAATTAAAGGAGATCCTACCTTATGAATCATTATCAGATATTATTAATCTGTCACTATTAGGAGGACGTGATATTAAGGTAGCAGGAATTAACGCACAAAGTGTTTCATACATCAATACAAGCATTAACAATATTATACTTGTACATCTGTTAAAGCATAATGTATATCACCTTGTTAAACAAGCACAGTGACAATATTATTATTATTGTATAGGAAGTGATTGAAATAACTGAGGAATTCAACACACCACTGACTACAGTAAAGCTAGGTACATGTATGTTGTAATATATGAATTTATATACATTATAGTGACTGTGGTGA